TTAGGTCTTTTAGAGAAGAAAAAAGATTATAAGAAGCGCGCTGAAGATTATCATGAAAAGGGTGAGACGCTGAAGTTGCTACGCAAGCGTACATTGGATAAAAACCCAGATGAATTCTACTTTCATATGGTTAATTCGAGGGTCAAAGATGGGGTGAGAGTTTCTAATCATGTAAAATTAGCTGTTTACATCATAAGTTATTTGATGATTGATGATGATTAACATAAATGGTTATAAGGATAATCATTTAGGTGCTATTCTAGATAAAAGAATTTTAGGATCGAACAATTTTTTTTAAATTATCTCTAACTACTAATGTTTTTTACGTAGTAGAGCCATGCTGCAGCTATATAAGTACTATAGTTGTAGCACAAATGGGTTAGCTCCATCGGGGAAGGACCACACTCTCACAGAATACCAGCGTAAAATAGCAGCTAAATGCTGCTGTGTTTAGTATGGTGAGTGTAGAGAACCGGAGACAATTTTTACTTGAAACGAGGTATTCCACCTTAGTCCCCTCAAGTGACAACACATCTGCATTTTGATTTGTAGTTGAGGATAGATGTAGATATCTATGGGCTACAGTATCCACTTACCTTCAGGTGGACTGTGTGCTCGTTTGTCATCTTTATGCTATAAGAAAAACAGTCAGTGCTCTACAACATTAATATTTTCGATATTTGATTCACAACATATAATACTAAAGCTTGTTAATGAATATAACTATGCAATGGGTACATAATAGGGTCATGTAGCGGTAAAGTCGGAGAATCAACATCCTTATCTCATTACAATCTATAACAGACAGTGCCATAATAAACCACATATAAAATGCCCAAACCAGTGATGGGAAGTAGCATAGTCTGCCTGCCAAAGCTGAACATTATGCCAAGTCTTTACAACTGTGAATGAGGATCCCTAGGACCATTATACTGTTATGAAAAAAAGAAGCACAAGCTTAATTCTGGATTGTATATTTGTGGTTGTATGTATCAATGTATTCTTGAAGTAAAACTTCTTTAGGCCTTCTTTTTGTGCCTTCTTGAAGGCACTCAGATTTTTTCAGATAAAAGTAATATTTATTATAATTATTCAATAGTTTATTGACACTTTCCATATTTAAAGGCAGCAACTGACTTTAAGGGCATTTTGTGAGTATATTTATAAGTGGTAGAGCCATGCTGCAGCTATGTTAGTATTATAGTTGTAGCACAAATGGGTCAGCTTAACCGAGGAAGGACCATGCTCTCACAGAATACTAGTGTAAATTAGCAGTCTAACACTGCTGTGTTTTCTATGGTGAGTGTGGAGAACTGGAGACACAGTAAAAGGGTGGTGTAAATGAGGCATTCCATCTTAGTCCTCATGGGTGACAACACTGCAGATGTGTTTTGAATCATAGTCAAGGATAGATGTAGATGTCCATGGGCCACAGCAACCACTTAACATCAGGTGGACTGTGTGCTTGTTTGTCACCCTCATCCTATGTGAAAAAATGTGTTATATATTATGCATGATATAAAATCTTCCAATATTATACCTTATACATAAGTTTATTTCTTTAAAATTCTACACTACATTAATAAATATTTTATTAATAATGAAATATGAAAAGCAGAATTAGAAAGTAATATTTTTTAATATTAATATTATTAATTTTTACTTCAACCACTGGTAAAGGTTCTACAAACTCATTTGTTAATATGAAATGTTATATTACCAGCATTAATTAAACAATTTTTTTAAATCTTCATAATATGTCTCTTTATTAGTACATATTTTACTTTTTTCATTTTTTTTTATAAATAAGTGTTTAACAAAAACTTATAGTTTTAAATTAAAATTAGGTGCATCATGAGATTGAAAAAGAAGATGAGCATACAGTGGAGCAATTGAAGCTTATGCAGACACAGGACATAAAGTATGTCAACATGAAGCGGACCATGGAAAGTCGTCGCATTGAGAGATTGCAGGTTAACAAGAGTTCTATATTATTTCTAGATTAAAGACTAGACTAGAGTTCTAAATTAAAGAAAATATACATTTCTGTACCTTCTGTACCAATGATGTTTGGAGGGTATCAATTAGCTTAGAACCAAGCTTTGTCTATTTTATTTGAATTATTATGGGCTATATTAGTGATTATGATGGAAAAATTTATTTCATTTCAGATTTTGAGAATTTCAGATATAAACTAAAATATCTATTTTAACTCTTTTTGGTGTATTTTAAGATCTCTGGTGCTAAGCGCACAATCGCTCAAGGGCTAAGCACTTAATGGCTCAGGGGCTAAGCACTCAATGATTCAGGGGCTAAGCACTCAATGTAAATTTCATAGTACATAAGCAACCCAGGTTTAATCCCCGCTGGCACCAATGAAATCATTGTAACTTGCTTAAAATTTAAATGCTGGTTTACCTCATGCTTGTCATCGTAAATATTATGTGGAAACATGAAAAATAAATCTAAGAAATAAAAGAATATTTCAGACATATGAAGTCTGCAAACACTCAATGATATGAACAGTGTGAAGGTTACTTTCTTGCCCTCTCAGAAATGAGAGGAGGCCAGTACCGGTTTCTTAAATTTGTATGTCATTAATATTGCATCACTTTTTATGCATTAAAATTGTTTAATATAATATATAAAGTGGTAGCTCAGTTGCTTTAAATTGCACAGTACGCGAGCAACCCGGGGGAAATTTCCTTGCTCTTAAACCCTCTCAGAAATTAGAAGACCTCTGTACTCAACAGTGGAACATGTATAGGCTGAAACTTTATACATTAAAATTATTTATTTGTAAATTTCTTAAAACATTTATTTTTCAGTCACAACTACACATGACAGATGTGGCGGATAAAACATCCAACACTCATATATTCTTTGTGGATGAAGAAGAGGCAAAAGATTTTGACTTGGCTAAAAGGCTTGACACACATCCCTCATTGTTAAACAGGAAATCTAACAGACCACGGTTATCTGATTTGAACAAAATCTCACTGCCAGAAGTTGATGAGAAGGTTATTATTCCTTGATTATTAATATAATAATAATGTCCTCCAGACCGAATTCCGGTTACGGCGGCTTGCCTCAATGGAGACTAGCCTTCGGCGCAGCACAGGATTTTATTGCCTAAGTGTATGCGCAAGCACAGGTGCACTCGATTAACTCACTCTCATAATCCAATCTGACAGTAAACTGACAAGACCGGAGAGAGATCAGACGCAAGACCAACAGCGTTATGAGGCACGGGGGTGAGACACCGCCAACCATTAAACCAACGAGATCTAGTGGTTGTAATAATGCGACTATGTACTATTGACTTACAAAAAGTCCAGTTAGAATTTTTTTTAACAAGGATCATTTGTGAAATAAACTTTGATACACATTCATTAATTTATTCAATGCAGCCTTTCAATTCTGCTGTTGAACATCGGCCTTGCTTGTAGACTGTCTCAAAGCGAGGATATTTGACATAGTTGCCGCGCTTGGTGGGTTTGTTCACTGCAGTTATCTAAGTGCACTGAGAAAAATACCAATTTTGCATACCCTTGCCATGGTGTGAGATACTTTCTATTGTATTGTTTTGTATGGTACTTAAAACTATATATTTACAGACTGTTAGGCACTTTATCTTAATTTGTGATACATCTACAACACAAAAACAAGTTACCTGGCCCCAGGTAACTTGTATGTTTGAAATTACCTGCGGTCAAGTTTCCGTGGCAATCAGATGGCTGCAAGCTAAGTGATAATCGTGGCTATATTTTTTTTATTGATCTATCATGCAGGTTATCAAAGAGGCTAAGAAGGCAAAAGAAAAAACATATAAAGAACTTTCAAAAAGGATAGAACGCGAAAAACAGTTGACAGTTGTACAACAAAAGATGGAGTTGAAACGTCATCTACATGATGCCAAAATTATGAAGCCAAAACGAGTACGGAAAGGTACAACAGTGTCGGCCCCAGTTTACAAGTTTCAGTACATGAGGAAGAAATAAAACATATTATGTATATAATCCGTGTTTTTATTTTTTAATAAATAGTATTGTCATTTTTTATTCCTTACTACTATTTTGTTAACCATGCTCTTAATCTCTATTTGTTCAGTTATTTGTTCTTACAATATATACTTAACCCAATAACAATCACAATTGCTTTACAAAACCTAATTAATGTATGAAATTATTATGAAATTGTCTCATATATATTCATGGCTCTATATTAATTTAATTAAATAAAAAAAAATTAATAGTTTAAATATTGTGTACAAAAGAGAGTAAAATTACATTCAAATTATGATGAAATAATAAAGTATACTTTCATGTGCTTTAGAAAAAATAGGTTAAATTAATTTATAATGTAACCTACTTTTTGTAAACAAAATTTAATTCAGGCCTTGAAATAATGTAATATTGAGCATTCAACTTGGTTGGGAAGAAGTCAAGTGTTAATGGCATTCCTAGATATCGACATATTTTGTCTAATATAGTTGAGAGTATTATAAATCATAATTTATCATTATTAATACTTGATTATTTATACGCATAATTTATTGATCTGTTGAGCTCTTATCAAAAAAGTCACTAATTCATATCTGGCTCGAAAGACCATTATTGGGCTGCACTATCTATGTCTTAGGATTCGAAAAGTTTAGGTGATCACTAAAGTTAAAATTTCGCAATAAGTAGCGTAGATTTGTATGGTTACTTTTCTTCTTTTGCTTAAATTATAGATATTTTAATGTTCCTAAACTAAAAACAGTCCTAAACTAAGTACAGTAAATTGGGTTAATCCTACAATAAAAAAATAAGTACTTTTTGTCAATAACTCACAACTATGTAATGTATGACATTTTTTGAAAAATTTAAAATCGATATCACAACTATGTATCGATATATAACTAAAGGTGGTAACTTCAAACGCTTCAAGGTAACTTATTAATAGTAACTGTCTTTGGTCGACTTATAGCTAACATCACAGTAACTTCAGTTCACTTTTCACCAGAGAACGCACTTGTGCTCAGGGTTCATTGGAGAACCCTTAGGGCACTGCCATGCCTGCGCGAATTCCTCTGAATTACTTAATGTACCAATGACTCTTATTTTATTTGGGCTATGCACTCCTTCCACAATTTTTGATTTTAAAGCGCCGACTGTTGAATTACCACACCATATCTAGAAACGAAAATATAGACATTATTAAAATTATTATGGCATTTTAAGGTAAAAGATAAATACTTGTATAACTGCTCTACTAGTGTAAAAAGCCAAGTGCGAATTAACAATGTATAGACATGTACCTGTGCGAAGCCTAGGAAGAACAGCTGGTGGTGCGAGTAGTGCGGCAGGCCGATTAGCGTGTCCCGGTGAGAGAGTGAGTGGACTGTGTATGTCTATACTCGGTGTATGTCTATACACAGTGTATGTCTATGTACCTGTGCGAAGCCCAGGAAGAACAGCTGGTGGTGCGAGTAATGCGGCAGGCCGGGCAGCGTGTCCCTGTGAGGGAATGAGTGGACAGTGTATGTCTATACACAGTGTATGTCTATACACAGTGTATGTCTATGTACCTGTGCGAAGCCCAGGAAGAACAGCTGGTGGTGCGAGTACTGCGGCAGGCCGAGCAGTGTGGCCCGGTGAGGGAATGAGTGGACAGTGTATGTCTATACACAGTGTATGTCTATACACAGTGTATGTCTATGTACCTGTGCGAAGCCCAGGAAGAACAGCTGGTGGTGCGAGTAATGCGGCAGGCCGGGCAGCGTGTCCCGGTGAGTGAGTGAGTGGACAGTGTATGTCTATACACAGTGTATGTCTATACACAGTGTATGTCTATGTACCTGTGCGAAGCCCAGGAAGAACAGCTGGTGGTGCGAGTAATGCGGCAGGCCGATTAGCGTGTCCCGGTGAGAGAGTGAGTGGACAGTGTATGTTTATACACAGTGTATGTCTATACACAGTGTATGTCTATGTACCTGTGCGAAGCCCAGGAAGAATAGCTGGTGGTGCGAGTAATGCGGCAGGCCGGGTAGTGTGTCCCGAGCCGACTCGGGGTGACGTTGTGTGTGCAACGCGTACGCGTTGAGTGCCGCTCTAAGCCCGCCGTTGTCCGCGATATTCTCGCCTTGCGTGTTGAACCCATGCACCTGTGCAAAGGTTTTTAACACTCGGATCAGGATATAATAAATCAATAGCGTATGCACGCCTTCAGGGCGTCGTTATTTTTAGTTTCCACACTTATGGCTTGTGTATCTTCCCTTTCCTAATCTATAAAATCCACTACTGGTCATAACTCTCGTTGTAAGGACGTTTATATTTATTACTAATAAAATATTCGAGGCTGGTTTAGACTCACGGTGTACTCGGGCAGCTGCGGCAAGTGGTAGCGGCTGTACTGGTCCACGATGCACTGCACCTTGCTGTGGTAGTGCTCCAGCGTCGCTGCGGACCACCACTGCTTCAGGTTGCCTTCCTCGTCGTACCGACGACCTGAAAGTTCAATTTCAACTCAGTAAACCTGTTGGAATCGACACTTATTCGCCATCAATGAACTGTATTATGAAATGACAAGCTCACTGATTTCGAAAACTTTTGATTGCATTAAAAGTAACCATAATAAACAAGGTGAATAGCGCTCAGACTCGTCTAACTACATCACCATCACCTTGTTTTCTAAAATAATGGATTACATTATAAACAGCCAGCTCGTGAGAACAAATTGAACGAATATAATATTAAAATTTAAGGAAACTTAAAAAACACGCATTGATCATGAGCTGCGATGATTTTAGAGAGAATGATCCTGGTGATCCTAATCAGAATATTAGGATAAAGTTATTAAATTATTGTATTGCACCGCAAATTTTCAATCGGCCGTTAAATTACAAAGGTAAGATAGATACCATTAAAAACATAACTTGTAAAAAAACCAAGTCTCGCAACTCAGTTCTTCTACGGTAAAAAGTTATGAGATCCATGTAATACCAAGTCGGTTAATTTATTCAGTTCCTACTTAAGGGTCCTTCTGTTTTAAGTTATTACGTAATTAGCTAACCTAACAACATTTAGTGACCATATCAATGTTAAAAGTCTTTTATGTTTTAAATATATAGATTGACTTATCCATCGCATGAAACCACAATGTATCTCACAAGTAATACGTATTATATTAAATTAGATTGCTTAATGCGATTGCCAAGTCAATCTATATATTTAAAACATAGAAGACTTTAAAATTGATATGGTCACTAAATGTTGTTCGGTTAGCTAATTGCGTAATAACTTAAAACAGAAGAACCCTTAAGTAGGAACTGAATAAATTAACCGACTTGGTATTACATGGATATCACAACTTTTTACGGTAGAAGAACTGAGTTGCGAGACTTGGTGTTTTTACAAGTCATGTTTTTAAAGGTATCTCATTTCTTTTTGTATATCAAATAGTCCTAATTTTTTACCTTTCCGATACCTTCTACTTCTTGAGTACCAACAACGTACCTATGTACACCTGTAATACTTATACAAGTACACTGATTCATTCACTGCAAATGTAACTTTGTAATTCTATATATTTATATGGGATTACAAAGTTATTTATGCAGTTAGTGTATCTAAAAAACTGGACAGAAATTAACAATTTTTTTAGTTTTTTCTTAATTTATACACTAAACACTAATTGTATTCTAAATTTGAAGCTTCTATGTATGCTAGAAGTGCCTAAGAGTTTTGATGATCGGTCAGTCAGTGAGTGACAAAATTAAGAAATTTTGAATGGTTACCATTCTTAAACTACTGGTTCAAATTGAATGAAATTTGAAATATACCATGTTTATATAATGCTTACTCGGTTACTGAAAATTCAGGCTTCTAGTTTTATTGACCACGAAGTTATAAGGGGTCGAAAATGGCCTGAATTGCTTCGAGAAAAGATGGTACGACCGTGCCGCTTTTTTTGCTCGACTTGGCGACAGATTTCGTTACATAGGCACATCGTTAAATACACACGCTAAAAACGCGTGTTAAGATAGGTAATTTTAAAGTAAAACCGTAATCAAAACTTCTAACAAAAAATATTCTAAAAAGCATTTAGTGTTTAATATTTAGTACCTGGATGACCGAGCTTTCCTCGTTTTTTTTTTGAAATTATATTTAGATACAAATTACATACTGATGAAACATGAATAATATTTTTTGATCTTATATATATACAAGAATTGCTCGTTTAAAGGGCAGACCACTGATATAGCTACAGTTTAGTGCGGTAGACGTCTCCGCCAAGAGTAAAAGTATTCTGCACAGATACCCAAAGATGTTTTTACCTATAAAACATCTTTGGTACTTTCGTATTCTGTGGGCAGACGGATCACACCGCGTCTTCTTCGTGTGTCATTCGAGGCGACTATGGGGTATTCCAAAAAGTTCTAAAAGCTTCCGATAGATGTCGGTGTAAAAATCACGTTTACATTAGATTATTGGAGTGTATACTAGTTCTATGCGTAAAATAGACCAGCGATGGCGAGCAGCGTTATAGGTACGAAACGTTTTGTATTGACATCATTATACCGCCTGCGAAGCGAGGTGTTTAGAGTTAGACAATTTCTACCTACATTGGGAGAGGCTCATTGAGTCGTCGAGAGTGTCCATTTTGATTCAAACAAAAAAATACGAACAACTTACTTTTTAAATTAAGACCCGGTTTTTCAATCGTCAAAAAGTTATCGATCAAATAATGAGTGTCAATTACTGCCAAGTGTGATCTGACTGAATATTATTTTTAATATGCTTATATGCTGTATTTTATTTCATGAAAACTTAACTGGCGATTGAAAAATTGGACCTTCAGTAAATTTTACATCGTATATCATAGGTTAAAGAGATATTTAGTGTAAGAAGCCCTTTATTTTCTAATAATTAAAATCTATGGCGTAAGAGTAAAAACCTTTTTCTCCTCCGTATGTTCACTAAACATACAGCCAAAAAAATCATGTGTATGTGCAGTTCACACGTGATAGAAGTGAAATCTTCAGAAAATTTTGAGCAAAATAGCTTTGTAAAAGCGCCATCTACTTAATTCTTTAGGTAAAGTTATTTTATCGAACAAAAATTTATTTACTCTCAACGTGGCACGTAAAATAGCCTAAACACTACTAATTTAATATGTGGATTGTTATAAATAGATTATGTATGATAATTTAATTATATGGTTAATTTTATTTATTTAATAAATTTGTTATTTTTTTAATTTAGAAATTATAATAACCATCTTAAAGCACCGCACAAAGAAGATACCGAAATAACAGGAAACACTGTATACTGATTCTATCTCATTATCTCGCTGGTTAAGTCATATATATGTATATGTTTGTCTCTTTTTACTGTCGCTTTTTCGTTTCATAGAATTCTAAATCGCAACGATTCTGCAAAGTTTTTGCTTCAAAAATATCGCTAATGACAAAAAGCTCACCTTGGTCATCGAAGCCATGCGTCACTTCATGTCCCATAATGGCGCCGATAGATCCGTAGTTTATTGCTCTGCCACAGAAAAAAGCAAATCAAATGTAATATACTTAGCAATTTTATTGTACATATTGTGGTCATACATGTAATGACCATAATATGTACACACAATAACATTAAAGTTAATTGTGCGTTTATGTATCATCACCAACGACATTACAGCGTATCACACACGCAGTTCTAAGGCAAAGGCCCAGGGACTATAGAGTGTAAGTTTTGTTGGACGTGTGGAGACTCTGACTTTACTTTTCACTTTTTAATATGGAGAATGTAATATGTCCCAGTCCACTGTTCAACGCAATAGATTCCCAAAGGGAGACACGTATACCATCTGCATTCATCTAATCCTTTCAATTTCTAGATAACATCTTTCAACAATGAAAATGGCTTTTCTAGTCTGCAAATAACTAACAGTTGATGATCTTTCGTTTTTTGCCGGTGCTCTTTTGGTGTAGGTGTATTCTTTATTTGATTGATAATGATGCTGTTGGCACAAACATTATCAAAATTAATCAGAACTTATCACATAATCTCCCCCAAAAAGTGCCAATAGTCACAGTCCCGAGCCACTTGCATCCAATTACTGCCAGCATCTCTTACTAGATCATCACTCTATCAACCAGTACGTGTTGCCAGTGATGACATGAATCTGAGCATCACATAGCCCATCGGATTAGTACGCTGAAGTGGCAATGGGAGGGCCATATAGCTCGAAGAACCGACAAACGATGTGGAAGAAAGGTTCTCGAGTGACAACCTCGTACCGGTAAGCGAAGTATAGAGCGTCCCCCCACTAGATGTAGTGACGACCTGGTAAGACATTCTGGAAGTCGATGGATGTAGGTGACCCAGGACCGTACTTTGTGGATTGTGATGGGCTGTAATGATGTTTTTTTTATTTATAAAATAAAAATAGCATCATTACATGCTGTGGATGCTGTGGCCCATAGACGTCTACATTTATTACGGTTAAAATTCAAAAGGCAAATGCGTTGTTACCCCTGAGGGCTAAGATGGAATGCCTAGTTTCCAATAAAAAGGGTTTCCGATTCTCTACACTGACCATACGAAACACAGCAGTATTGAGCTGTTATTTTATGGTATGCTGTGAGAGTATGGTCCTGCCCGGGTCGTGTCGGCCCATTCGTGCTACAACCATAATATAGTTGCAGCTTGGCTCTATATCGTTAAAAGTGATAATAAACTATGGAAAATTCACCCCTATGATCAAAATATGAAGATCGGACGAGCCCCTAGCATACGTTATGTTTAATTGCATATAATATAATTTTACGTGTTATTATAATGTACAACAGAAATTACAATGTAACGATAGATGTAAGTACTAATCATTTTAGTTTATTTTTTATAATTTAATCTTGGGTTATGCACTCACTCGATTCCGTTTCCGTAAAATGGCGGCTGTAGGATTCCGGCCGGGAACGCTGTAAACAATACAATTTATCACTGTCATAATGATTTCTTATATTTACGCAAAAAAAAAAATACGTCGGGTATAAAAAATAAAATAAGTTGGACGCGATAAAATCCGTAAGAAAAGTAGTTTTGATTATTAACACTGTCATGATAGTTAAGTTAAGTTGTCATAAAGTTATAGAGAAAATTTCGCTGTGCAGGCGGCGCCTGAGACAATATATCGGCGTATTTCGTCCCATGGGTTTCGAAGTATCCTTTGGAGTATGTGCTAGGAATATGTTAGCGTTACGGCCTATCAAATGTCCACTGCTATACCCATTGAAACCGCAGTATATTTCTCTAGTTGCCTGTTTTAGTTTGCCTCTTGCGCCTCTTAAAACAAATATCTCATAATGTATTATACTTACTGACTGAGTTGAGGGTAGCCGAATAAAACGCGTTTACAGTTGTAGCGGTCGCCACCCATCTGTAATGGAATTTAATATTTTATTATAACGGCTGTTTTCTAAAGATTAAAATTGTAAAGTATAAAGCTTAATTACATTTTTTAATACAGTACTAATAAACTATCAACATTGATGGTCTTGATTTTTGTACTGACAACATTTCCTACTACAAATTGAATTATACAGAGTTGACTAACAGTTGCTTGTAAATTTTCAATTATGTGCCATGATTTGCTACTGTTATAGATTTGTTTTATATGCTATACGTGATTGTTGTTACTACCATCTGGTAAATTATATGCGATAACAATCTGTTGTTTCGATACAATTAACTACAAACTATGTTTTCTTTGCTTAAAACAATGCATTATTGGCTGTGGTGTTCAACCATCCAATATTTTATATACCAAAAATAGACACAATTGAAAATTGCTGTGCGAAGGTTAAGAATACATTTATAGTATAGTTCATTTCAAATAGGATGACAGGATTCCACTTGAGACTTAGCAATTACAGCTGTAATGTTAATCTATTGTTGTGTGATTATTTTATTGCTTTAACACTTGAAGTTAAGCATCTGTTGATAATACTGAACCAGTATAGCTGGAATGACGAATTTTGGTACTTGAACATTAAAACAAATTAAATTGTAGATAAAAAACCTTTATTACTTTTAACTTAACTATTTTAAATACTTATAACAACTTGTTAATATTTTGTTTAATCAATCACTCTGAAGAACATTCACCGGTATCGGATCCTGCTGACACTATTCTACAAACAGTTCTTATAAGCACGTTTGTTAATTCCGATGTCTCTTTAATCACTCCCTTATCACCCATGCGTTTCAAAAGCTTATTGTAAACACTCAAAACTATGTCTTGAGCGTCTGAACTTAAATGTCTTTTTCTACGCTGAACACTATTTTCATCACTTGTAGATGCACTATTTGATATTTCCCATGGTCGAAACATGTTTATTTGTACGTCTGTGTAATAACAAAGTTACAAGACGACTGAATTTTTGACAACAATGTCATCGTGTATTTAACAAAAGCATCAAAACTTGTTTGCTGCCACAAAAATACCACGTTAGGATAAGGTCTTCCCAGGTATCGGTTGTAAATACCACTTCTTTTGTTATCGCCTAATGACCGCTTCAAGTACAATCCTGCCATGCTATTTGAAATGAACTATAAAACATTAGCATATTACCTGTTCCTGTCCGGTTTCTCCCTAAGTGTCTCCAAGGACTTCTTCACGGCCGCCCAAGTCAGGTTCAGATACGTGTCGAACAGATTACCTTCGATCACATGAGCCTGTAATCCAAAATTTATAATACAAATGTGGATATTTTGGGATGCAGTTTCAATACAGTAAAGTTAAAAAGAAAATCATTCGACTACACATATAAATAAAATTAAAGTGCCTGATTGTAATATCGAAATAACTGCCATACATTGAGCTAAGGGATGCATGGCTCTACGACATGAATAATCACTTTTAATAATGTTGTCTGTCTGTCAGTATGTCTGCCCGGGTTTTGTCTTTGATATGGCTGAAACTAATTAGCGCCTGGTATGTGGCGGCTGATTATAAGCGCCATCTAGCATCAAGCAGCAGGAATAAGAGCGTCAAGATCTTTCTAGAACTCTCCCACTAGCGCCATCTAGTATCGAATGGAAGAACTAAGCTTTCTAGAAATCTCCATACTCGAACTTTCTGCACCTGGTCAGCCGGGGGCCGGTATTTGCTGGAACATTGTGCATGTTTCGGTGAAAAATGCCTATTTAAAGTCGTTGAGGGCCGCGAACGGAGCAGTATTGAATTGGCGATACGAGCGAAGCTTTCGGAGCGAAATAAAGTGAACTGAAGTGTTAAGTGTGATAAATTATCAGTGTGATTTAAGTTTTAATTAGTGTTCAGTAATTAAAGTGTCAATTTTGGTAATTCAATCGGCAGTTTATATTGTCACGAACCCTAAGTTCGTAACATAATGAAACTTCACAAAAAAGTACTTAAGATCGTGCCAGCTTGTGTTTTCTATTACCATACGGATCAACTACGTTCTTTTCTTTTAAAATTATTAATTCAAATTATAAATAAAAACCTATTTAATTTATAGTCACACTTAGCTTAAGAAATTTTTCTGTTATTTAATATTGTTATTGTGTAAGTTGACTGTTAGCAAGCCATATGAATAAAATAAAATAAAATAAAACAATTAGAGAGCAATTGTAGGAGTGATCTTTTACCCGAAGACTTTAAAAAACACAAAGAATCTCATATCTTATGAAAGTATGCAACAATTTTTAGTATGTTTTGATTATTTTCCCAATAAATAGAGGTTAGAAATAAAAGAAAGAGACGGGAAATAAATATGACGCAAGGCCGTTCGTTACCGTGTAACGACGGGTGCATTCCGGACATTTATGTGGTGATTGCTGGCCTAATTATGTTTGTTTTACTTACTTTTTTGTCCTCTTGATTAAAACTATTTTTACGGATTTTATCGCATTTTATTTATTTTATTTTTAATACCCGACGTTTCGGGTGCTTTCCAGCACCCATGGTCACGGGGGCCTGAGATGACTGACGTCCCGATGTCAAAGTTAACCCGGAGTACCTTCAGCTTTTGTAATTATTGTCTTTGGTCCGATCTACGCAGAATGAACTAACTGTGTTTTGAAGTCTTGCAGTGGTATGCTTGGGTTTAGTTTTAATTTTATTAATTACAGGATTCCAAGCAGGTGGTAGTACCCATCCTCCTTCTCTATTGAAATTAGGGTGTTTTTAATTTCAATAGCCTCACGTATCATCCTTGGTAGGAATCGATGTTCTTTCGCGAGGATTTGTTGTCTATCAAATCTGATGTAATGGTTGGGGCCATCTAGGATATGATCGCAAACTGCAGACTTCCCAGAACGTTGATGTTTCACGTCAGCTATATGTTCTTTTACGCGGGTTCTAATTGATCTCTTTGTTTGCCCTATATATGAGAGACCACAATCACAATCAAGCTTGAACACTCCTGCATCTTGTAGAGGAATATGACACTTGACGGATGGTAGCAATACTTCAAAACACAGTTAGTTCATTCTGCGTAGATCGGACCAAAGACAATAATTAAAAAGCTGAAGGTACTCCGGGTTAACTTTGACATCGGGATGTCAGTCACCTCAGTCCCCCGTGACCATGGGTGCTGGAAAGCACCCGAAACGTTGTGTATTAAAAATAAAATAAATAAAACGCGATAAAATCCGTAAAAGTAGTTTTAATCAATGTACAGTGTTCGCGTAAATATAAGAAATCATTATTTTTGTCCTCTTTTTTATTATTTTAATCACGCTACCCTTTTTTTACATCATTCGGCAGTGTGGTGAAATGTATGATGAATGAAATGTGTGGGATTGTGTGCCACCACTGTGTTTAGAGCTTGAAATATGGTATAATAAAGTTATATACTTAATTAAAATAAATTTCAAATAATGTTAACAAAGTGCGCACATTAATAATAATAGCGTTTTTTAGCTACATTAAACAAAATAGTGTTAGATTGTCGAAAACATCGTTCGCAGTTTATAAAACAGAGAACTAGTTTTCTCGGCTGCACGTAATCGACTAAAGGAGTTACGGAGATTTGGCTGTAATTTAGTGCGCAATGTATTACTGTAGTGCCTGTGTAGTAGTACACTCTTAGGTATTGTCAGTAGTCTGTACAACATGTTAACATACATATTATTTTAAGGATGATTATAACGCTATATTTCTTTATTTACCCCTCTGTAATGATAAGTTTTTATTATTATTCGCTATATAAATTGATATTGTTTAAAAAGGCAAAGTATCGATATAAATATCGATACCACATTTATCTATGACCAATTGTATTTGAGAACTGTTATAGCGGATCGATTATTTCATTCGATTAGGATTTCGACGAGGATTAGTTCATTCATTCGTTCCTGTATAGGGTAGTTATATATTCTTTGCTCATTCCATAGACGAGCGCATTCATGTTGTAATCTTCAAGAGAGTAATTTGTGTAGAATAAATCTGTGTCTGTAAATCTTTTAAATCCGAGTTTATTTTATTAATCTAAAAGTGAACTTTACAAACAGGTGTTTTATTGTTTAAAATACTTTGAAAACTGGATTTGCTGGGTTTCTTGCTGATTCTTCTCAAGACAGAATTTTTTTCCTTTTAAAAATGACAATAAGAATTACTAGTAATGTATTGTAATATTGAATAAGAAAATATATTGTATGGTGTGCTCACGTTGCGGTAGTGGTTGTCAAGCTTGCGGGTGTCGAGCAGCCAGGCGGGGAAGCCCACGAAGTTGCGGATGGCGCGCAGCTTGGCGAGCGTGCGGCGCCGCGTGCTGCCGTCCATCCAGTCCAGCCGCGCCGCCGCCGCGCCGAACGCCGCGCGCACGTCCTCCACCATCTCGATCGCCTGTGATCGCACACGCGCTACAGCCGTGCTGCCATGCCCTTGTAACACGCATGGCAGGACCACTCCACAAAAGACCACCGTGAAAGAATCAGACTAATGCAGCCGTGTTTCGTATAGTGTCAGTAGAGAATTGGTGATCATTTTCCATCCCTGAGGACTAAGATGAAATGACTTGCCAGTAGGCAAGTCATTTCATCTTAGTCCTCAGGGATGACGCAATTGCATTTTAATTCTTAACCGAAAAAATTGGACGTTTATGAGCTACAGCATCCACTTACTATCAGGTAGACTGTGTGCTCCTTTATCACCCTAATTCTATAAAATCTGTGTTCTTTACTCGAATGAACACAAACTTCTAACGAGTCTTCTTCTTTCTTCTTAAGAAGCATTCAAAATCCAACTTTTTTGTATAATCCAGAAAATACCATTGAGCTATTATGTACTACGTACTAGAGGCAACACTGCATTCAGCTACTCTGTCTCTGTTCCACTCAACTGCGGTGCATACACCGTACTTTAATCAGTCACTCGCTAGGCCCCTGTAGAGTTGTCACGTGTTGTGTTGATTTTAAAAATAATCTCTTGATAAAAATATGCCGTCGTGTGTACTTAGATATTGCACAAACAATTTAAGAAATGTCAGTAAAAACCAAGGAATTACTTTTCATCGGTTAATAAGATACTTAATCAATAAAAAAGTATTATAAATTAATAATAAAACAAATTATTCCTAAGACGCCATCTTGTGTCATATAATATAGATTATGAAATTAATTTGTTCAGATGCGACATTTCTGTGGAGCACTTAAGTATAGGATGAATATATTATTATCATACACATTTTTTTGTAGAAACATATATGAGTTATCATAATTAGGCCAATTTTTTATATTTAAATCTGCTCATTATTGTTTTATATTATTTTTAGGTTTCCACATCATAGTCAAAGTGGAATAAATTCGTCCATTTTTAACTGTCGCGTGCCCAGCATTTATGAACGATGCTTATTCTAATTTAAACAAATATATTTGTAATTTAAAATTTATATTAATGAGTTTTGTTAAACATACATTTAGTATGTTTTTTATATTTGACATAGATACCTTTTAAAATATTCAGATAAAAATATCATTAAAATGTAATTGTGATATAATATTAAGTAATATAATGTTAAATAAACAAATATTATGTACAAAATAAATGACAAAATTTGAAAATTGTTCTCGATATAATTTACCTATTTAGCAATACAATCTATTATTACCTACGGATCCCCCTATGTTTATTCTATGATAACAAAACCAACCGCGCGAACACAGAGTAGCGCACATGTTTTGTTTGAAATTGCTGTTCTCGTACATAAGTACATATTACTTCAATGGAAAATACAATTGTTTTCTCAATTTCTGAATAATTATCATACCGTTGGCATAATTTCACCGCAGACACAGATAAGAATAACCTGTTTTACTAAGAATTTGAATTATACACTTCTTTTTTTTAATACAACTCCTTTTTGTATAGAAGTCCGTCTGAGTAGGTATCACACCCTTTCACATTTTTAATACAACTCCCTTTTGTATAGAAGTCCGTCTGAGTAGGTATCACACCCTTTCACAATTTTAATACAACTCCCTTTTGTATAGAAGTCCGTCTGTGTAGGTATCACACCCTTTCACAATTATAATACAACTCCCTTTTGTATAGAAGTCCGTCTGAGTAGGTATCACACCCTTTCACAATTTTAATACAACTCCCTTTTGTATAGAAGTCCGTCTGAGTAGGTATCACACCCTTTCACATTTTTAATACAACTCCCTTTTGTATAGAAGTCCGTCTGAGTAGGTATCACACCCTTTCACAATTTTAATACAACTCCCTTTTGTATAGAAGTCCGTCTGAGTAGGTATGACACCCTTTCACATTTTTAATACAACTCCCTTTTGTATAGAAATCCGTTTGAGTAGGTATCACACCCTTTCACATTTTTCTGTCGCTAAATAGTAGTTATTATAATCCACTCTGAAGAAAAGCTTAAATACAGCCTTACATCTTAGCCATCAGACACATCATCTGTCGCCTTCTCTATTAAAATTTCGAAAACATTATAATATAAAAACAGCAAATAACTGACTAAAATTATTAATCAATATTAATTTTATCACTCCGTGTCCATGTCTTCCTTCCAGTATTTAATAAAATTATATGTCAGATTTAGAGTTATTTCCAATATACACCGCACGCTAACGCATCAAATTGCAGAAACAAAAAATCGCGGAAGTAGGAGGCTATAATGTATAATGCAAGCTATAATGTACAACATTGAACCGGATCCTACTCCATCTACCTTCATCCATCAGCCAAACTAAACCCGAACCTGGTACAAACAACAAAGAAAATGAGCAGTTCGTTCCAACGCGTGCGTTTCCCCAGAAATTGTTCGACCATACTCAAAGGCAGGTCCTAGAAAAGCAGCCAGAATCATCAGAAGAAAAAGGAAAGCTGCTATTCTAACAGACACTCACGAAAAGAACGCATTGCAAGAGGAACAACATAAAATTTCGAAAAAATTAAGAAGCTAAAAAAGAACATTAAGTACTTTTCTTTCTTTTATTATCAATGTTAAAAACGCTAATGTCAATTTTATATAAATCAAAATATTTGATGTCATGTCGGTCAAATGACACTTGTTACTACTAATTCAATGTTACCGCATTTTTATACATATAAATAAAATTTAGGTATCTGTCATAGTGTAACTTACTATCTAATTAAATATCAGTCTTTTATTAAGATCAGGGGGTTCTTTGCATGTCACTAAGACGTAAATAATCATGTTTGTCTGTTTGTTCGTGTTAATATATGGAATGGTCGAACTGATTGTGATGAAACTTCACGAACTAATAAAGAACAATGTTAGAAGTGGTTTAGACTCTATTTATTTATAAAAATTTTGCAGTTTTTTTGTGAAGTCGAGAAATTGATAAAATAAATGGTCGTTGATAATAATCATTCTAATCCAAATGATTACATAAATTGCATTAATAAATATCACGTAAGCGAAGCTGGGGCAGCGTGTTAGTATTTTAAATAACTTACTCATTTTTGTTCGTGAGATGTATATGACACAGAAGCCCAAGTCTCGAAGTAAGGAAGAAACTTTGATCCAGGGTCCATTTGTAACAACATAATAATGTAAGCAATGTAAATTGTAACGTTGGTCGAAGTGTCGCTGTAGCTGAAGGCGAGGTCGAAGTTTTTTTTACATTAAATTAGAGTGCGGAACGAGCACACAGTTCATCTGATGGTAAGTGGATGCTGTGGTTCATAGACATCAACATTTATCCTCGATTAGGAATCAAAACGCAGATGCGTTGTCTCACTGCTGAGGAATAAAATGGAATGCCTTATTTCCAGTAAAACGGGTTTTCTATAATCATCATACAAAACACAGCAGCATTAAGGTGCTATTTCACGCTGGTATTCCTTGAGGAGCATAAATAAATTTAATATAGCTGTAGCGTGGCGCTACCGGCGAGTAACACTGCAATAACGTGAACATATAGGAATATATGAGGCAGTACCTTCTGGCGGGAGTGCTGATCGAAGTGGCGGTTGACGTAGGCGTAGCTGAGCGCGAGGCCGAAGTTGGCGTTGACGTTGGCGGCGCAGCTCTTCCAGCGTGGCGCGCGCGCACGTAGCCCCAGCACCGCGCGCGAAAACTCGAACCCGAGCGAGCGAAATCCGCTCAGCGTCATCGGCGCCACCGTCGAAAACACGCTCCACCACACGAACCGTTCTGAGGACCGCATACACACACATCTCAATTTATTTATTTATTTATCGCAAAATCGCACAACTAATTCCAATCCATCAGAATTGAATGATGTGAATAGTAAAATTAAATCTAAAGTATCAAATTTAAACGACGGAAATCGTACAACAGAATCCGATGCATCAGATTAGAACTATAGGAATCGCACAACTAATTCCGTTGAATCAGAATTGAATGATGTAAATAGTAAAACTAAATCTAAACTAACAAATTTGAACGACGGAAATCGTACAGCTGAATCAGATGCATCAAATTAAAATAATAGGAATCGCACAACTAATTCCAATGCATCAGAATTGAATGATGTGAATAGTACAATTAAATCTAAAGTATCAAATTTAAACGACGGAAATCGTACAACAGAAGATGCATCAGATTAGAACAATAGGAATCGCACAACTAATTCCAATGCATCAGAATTGAATGATGTGAATAGTACAATTAAATCTGAAGTATCAAATTTAAACGACGGAAATCGTACAACAGAAGGCATCAGATTAGAACAATAGGAATCGCACAACTAATTCCGTTGCATCAGAATTAAATGATGTAAATAGTAAAACTAATCTAAACTAACAAATTTGAACGACGGAAATCGTACAGCTACAATCCGATGCATCAGACTAGAACAATAGGAATCGCACAACTAATTCCGTTGCATCAGAATTGAATGATGTAAATAGTAAAATTAAATCTAAACTAACAAATTTAAACGACGGAAATCGTACAGCTGAACCAATCCGATGCATCAGATTAGAATAATAGGAATCGCACAACTAATTCCGTTGAATCAGAATTGAATGATGTAAATAGTAAAACTAATCTAAACTAACAAATTTGAACGACGGAAATCGTACAGCTGAATCCGATGCATCAGATTAGAATAATAGGAATCGCACAACTAATTCCAATGCATCAGAATTGAATGATGTGAATAGTACAATTAAATCGTAACAAATTTAAATGACGGAAATCGTACAACAGAATCCGATGCATCAGATTAGAACAATAGGAATCGCACAACTAATTCCAATGCATCAGAATTGAATGATGTGAATAGTACAATTAAATCGTAACAAATTTAAACGACGGAAATCGTACAGCAGAATCCGATGCATCAGATTAGAACAATAGGAATCGCACAACTAATTCCAATGCATCAGAATTGAATGATGTTAATAGTACAACTAAAGATAAAGTATCAAAGTTGAACGACAAAAATCATATAACTGAATCCAATGCATCAGATTTGAATAGTATGGTTCGTACAATTAAATCAATGATGGTATTATAAAACAAATAAGAATAAAATTAAATACGAAAATCACAACGCCATCTGAAGTATTTGTGGTAATATTATTTGCATAATTATAAGTTAAGATTATATAAATAACTTTACCATATTACTAGAGGTAATGGATTTCAAGCCTTAAATGTAACATTTTTATGTTACTAAGAAAAGTACCTCTTCTCATTCTTTTATCACTTATATGTATACTGAATGACCATGTGAACGGGACATGAGAAACCTATGGCACTGATATTTTACAAAAAGTAAAAACAAAAATTTTGAATTAAATAAATAAATAAATTAAAATCTATCGAAATTCAACTTATATCTTATATACTACTATATATTTTACGAACGGCAACAAAACAATAAATTTACTGGGCATCTTTGACCTTCTCACTTAGCAAGGTTCAAGGGCAAAGGGCAAAGTAATTGTTAAAAAAAATTCAAAAGTTTAATTCAAAATTTTTGTTTTATGTCACTCTCTACTCCGTTCACATGTTACACCCTTTTTTCCAGACGGTAAAAAAGGTCATCAAGTATATTCTTTTAATTTTTATTTTCTGATAAGTTGTAGCATTTTTCAGAACAGGTTTTTCGTATTTGGATAAATAGTTTTGAACTCACCAACAATGACAGGTTCCGTGTCGTTGAGCAGGACCGCTAACTTCTGCAGATAGGGAAGGTCCATGACTATGATGCGATCGCTATCCGGTTGCAGCACCACGCTGGTGTTAGCGAACACCAGCCGCAGATACAGATCCCAATCGTGCTGTAATATAAAGGCAACTGCATCAGTGGCTGCAATATTTTAAATATTATATTATATTAATGATCATGATATTGTCTGTTTAAAAGACTTGTTAAAACGCACTACATTTCACTTTATAATAATAAAAAACTAATATGCATGCAGATTTAAAAACTTTTCAGGCGACGGTGCAGGGTATGTTTCCCCACCGCATTAAAGTATGAGATTGAAAAGCGTATGCTTGTTTCAATTCTATGTTAATTGAAGATAGTAATAATGCTGAAACAATCGTATCTTCAACGCATCTGTTTTTGAACGATGTGTTTGTTTACACAACAATATAGAACAAAAAAAAAAAATAAAATAACAAAAAGAAATAAATTTTTTTTTTTAGTTAATAAGTGAAATAAAAAAAAGCATATGGTATTTAGTTTTTTAGAATGCTTTAAGAGTTTAAAAAAAAAAAAAGAAAAAAAAAAAAAAAAAAATAAAATTAGGTTTTTAAAAAAAAAAAAATAAAAAAAAAAGTGGCATATTTTTGTTTAAAAAAAATATTTATATAAAAAATAAAAGAGAAAAAACACCCTTTTTTTTTCTTTAAAAAAAAAAAAAAAAAGAAAAATTAAAAGAAAAACAACCCCCCCCCACAACAAACAACGAAAGTCCCCAGGTCGTATCGGTTCGGAAAAATCGCCGGTGGTAAACTATTCCACAGAGAGGTCGTAAGCGGAAGAAAACTCCTTGTGAAACGTACAGTGGTGGATCGCCAGGCATCCAGATGGTGGGGATGGTATCGGCCGTAGATTTGGCGTCTGGGATTAATCCGAACAATTCCTCAGAGCAATCCCCATGGTATATGCGAAAGAAAATGCAAAGAGATGCAACATCTCTTCGCAGCGCCAGTGAATCGAACCGATCGGAAAGCACTCGGTCGTCGACGATTCGAGCCGCTCTGCGCTGGATGCGGTCAAGTGAAAGGAGCTGGTACTGGGGAGGCCCCAGCCCAGAGATGGGAACAGTATTCCATGTGCGGCCGAACCTGCGCCTTGTAAAGTTGCAGGCGGTGTGCCGGCATGAAATACTGTCCCGCTCTGCTGAGCACGCCAGCTTTTTAGAGGCCAATTTGGCCTTCTCTTCCAAGTGACCACGAAACTGCACGTCACTCGATATGTCGACGTCGAGGATTCCGATACTAAATAAAATTAAGTTACTGTACTTAGAACTTAGTGTATTGTTTACATTTGAAGCCATTTGGTAAACATGTGTAAGCAATAACAATGTTCTACAGGGAACCTTTATTGTTTGTACATTCATTTAAAATGACTCATTGATAGATGATTGAAATTGCAAAGGTCGTCTTCGTTACAACTTGATTTACTGAGGTGCGACGCCCAAATCGTTAAGTTATAGAGGGTGTGTATTTTAAGTAAAAGAGGTTTTGGATCCCGAGCGAAACCGAAACCAAAATTTAATGAAATTATAGAGGTTATTACGTTATACAGGTTTAAGTTATCAAGGTTCTACTGCAATAGTATACTACTTACGGTAATCAACCGGGAGCAGCAGCAGGGAGAGTTAAACAACTATATTAGTTGGTGCTGTTGTAGGTTTGCATATATTTGATAAATTATTTTGAGGATATTTTGTATTTACTTATGCAAAAGCACGGTAATCAACCGGGAGCAGCAGCAGGGAGAGTTCAACAACTATATTAGTTGGTGCTGCTGTTGGTTTGCATATTTGATAAATTATTTTGAGGATATTTTGTATTTACTTATCCAAAAGCACGGTAATCAACCGGGAGCAGCAGCAGGGAGAGTTCAACAACTATATTAGTTGGTGCTGCTGTTGGTTTGCATATTTGATAAATTATTTTGAGGATATTTTGTATTTACTTATCCAAAAGCACGGTAATCAACCGGGAGCAGCAGCAGGGAGAGTTCAACAACTATATTAGTTGGTGCTGCTGTTGGTTTGCATATTTGATAAATTATTTTGAGGATATTTTGTATTTACTTATCCAAAAGCACGGTAATCAACCGGGAGCAGCAGCAGGGAGAGTTCAACAACTATATTAGTTGGTGCTGCTGTTGGTTTGCATATTTGATAAATTATTTTGAGGATATTTTGTATTTACTTATGCTAAAAGCACGGTAATCAACCGGGAGCAACAGCAGGGAGAGTTCAACAACTATATTAGTTGGTGCTGCTGTTGGTTTGCATATTTGATAAATTATTTTGAGGATATTTTGTATTTACTTATGCAAAAGCACGGTAATCAACCGGGAGCAGCAGCATGGAGAGTTCAACAACTATATTAGTTGGTGCTTCCGTCGGTTTGCATATTTGATATATTATTTTGAGGATATTTTGTATTTACTTATCCAAAAGCACGGTAATCAACCAGGAGAAGCAGCAGGGAGAGTACAACAACTATGTTAGTTGGTGCTGCTGTTGGTTTGCATATTTGATATATTATTTTGAGGATATTTTGTATTTACTTATCCAAAAGCACGGTAATCAACCGGGAGAAGCAGCAGGGAGAGTTAAACAACTATATTAGTTGGTGCTGTTGTAGGTTTGCATATATTTGATATATTATTTTGAGGATATTTTGTTTTTACTTAACTGTGTTCAATAATAATTTTTCTAATGTAAGAGTCAATCTTAGAATAGACTTTTAGTACATTAACACATGAAAAGAAAAGACGACTCCGTGGCACTGTGGCTTAGCAATGAGTGGCTGCGCTGGGGGTCGCGGGTTCGAATCCCGCACGGAATAAGTATTTGTATGGCCTACAAATAATTCTTCTGGGTCTGAATGTTTGTCCTTGTGCAATTTATGTTTGTAAACTGCCCCCACGATACATGAGGAAATCCTAGTGTAGGGGTAACGTTTTTTAAAAGAAAAGAAAAGAAAAGAAAAGTTAAAAACCTAGTTATTTCATACAAAATGCTGCAATTGTTTTTTAATGATAACTAATAAATGGAATCACCATTAGTCTCCAATTAAAGCAGAAATAAAGAAACTTAATTGATCTCAGATATTCAAAATAATATATATGTTTAAATTGTAAACGTTTATTGTTGATCTCTTTAAATTAATTTTTTTCTGATAGGTAAGGTGTGCTTTTTTGTCCAAGAGTCCAGTAGTGAAATTGTACATGCAAATACAATACAAAAAAATAGTGATTGTGTTAAGTTACCTCGTTCCATTCAGCCGGTCCACCAGCAGTTCCTTGCACGAGTTGCGACACGCTAACCTCGTGGAACAGATGAGTCCCGCTCCTTCTTACTTCCATAGGAGTCATTATCTGTACAAAGCGCGATAATGATGTGCATTCTATTCTTTAACAAGTTGATTTAAAAAAATATTCGCTCAACGATGAAACTAAACTTAACTAAACTGAACCAACTAACTAAAACTAACCTTACATTCACCAGATGGCGCTAGTTGGTACCAGGGTGAACTTATTTGTTACACAGATAGTCACACAGTCACACAAAAAAAATTACACTATTTAGAGCTTATTGTAAGTCACTCTACTCGTCCAGCCCGTGGGCAGACTATAATAAACGAAGTTAGAACGATCTCCGCGTCCTGTACAATAACGCTTTCAGGGTGGTTTTGGGGCTGCCCCGCTTCTGCAGTGCCTCTGGCATGCTTGCGGAGGCGCGCACTGCCTGTTTTCACGCGACCATACGAAAGCGGTGCGCGTCACTGGTGCGCAGAGTGCGGGCCAGCTCCATTATTATACTGAAAATGATAGGAGACAGACTGGACTGTCCGATCCTCCGGCATTGCTGCGTCAAACATGTCCCAGAAATTGTGGGAGTGAGAAGTTACTAAATAATAATTATGTGTTACTTATTATTGTGTTTATATGTTTATATGTTAGTTATTGTATTTTAATAACATATTATTATTATTTATTATCAATTAATCAATGCTTTTAAATCAATAAATTTTAATGATATGGATATTATGTTATCTGAAATAAAATTAATAATAATAATAAAAAAACAGTGATTTCTTATGTTTACGCGAACACTATTTGCTTGTATAATACGCTAAAAACTAGTTTTAGTTAAATGATCACATAGTGTCACCATCATTGAAAAGTTGCGTATTAATTAAAAATCCTAGTATATAATTGGGCATTATTTATTCGCGAGTATATTAGTAAATTTAGCGCTCCAAAACGAATTATTTCAGACCGTGGGACCGCTTTTATCAATAATACCTTTAAAGCATTTGTTCATGAAAAGGGTATAAAGCACATTCTTAACGCTGTGTTACTCCTAGATACAACGGACAGTTAGAACGTTATAACTTATAACAAAATAATATCAACAGATTACTGTGCAAAGAAATGCCCGGGAAATAATGCTTGGAAAATATGAATAACGCCCTATTAATTACTTGGTCCATAACATATACACAAAATACCTCTGTTGTATTCTTTGATTTTAACGCCTTTTTTAACTTTTTTAATTCTTCTTCATATAGGAATATCCGTAATTGGTTCATCGATTTCTAATCTAATTAATATAACATATAACTAATATTTCAGAAAGAAATATTATTGTCTACACTTTTCTACCAAATATCTATTTTTTTTTAGAATAATGGTGACAAACGAGCACGCAGCCTACCTGATGGTAGGTGGATGCTGTGGCCCATAGACATCTACATCTATCCTCGATTAAGAATCAAAACGCAGATGCGTTGTCACCCCTGAGGACTAAGATGGAATGCCTCGTTTCCAGTAAAAATGGTCTCCAGATCTCTACACTCACCATACGAAACACAGCAGTATTTAGTTGCTATTTTACGCTGGTATTCTGTGAGAGCGTGATCCTTCCCCGGTCGAGTCGACCTATTACTGCTAAAACTATAATATAGCTGGAGCGTGGCTCTACCACGTATAAAATAACTTCCCGCGCCATGAACTCTGTCAAATATTTCATTTCCATCGTCATTACTAAGTGGCGCCGCTCTGGTGGCAGAAAAAGTCGTGGATACCCTCATTAAGGCTAACACTCCCTACAACGGGAGAAGCAGTGAAGTGAAGTGAATGTTCAGTACTGGAGATGAAGAAGATTAGGCTACTAGCATTTATTTTCCAGATCCTCTACAGAAAAAAAGGCTCCATTAGTCGAAAGTAGTATTTTTATTCTTAAAGAGGAAAGAAGAAGGTTACTTTTAATGCTTCATTTTTAAATCATGACGCATTACTGAAGTGATACTCATTTTAGATAGTAAATTAAGATCAGAACTACTAACTTGGTAGTGAAGTTTATCAAATTATGAATTCCCGTTAATGTTTCGAAAGAATATATACAAAAATTTACACATCACATGCTTACCATTATTTTTGCTAGCAGCTATGCGGGTCTAATGAAACCAATACCACGGCGACCAGTTCTATTGTGATCGCTGCTATAACTACGTTATATCACTGCTAAGCCTTTATAACTTTAATAAATTGAAGGAGTTGCTTAACTGTGACCATTTTCGGCTCCTTTAACATTAAGGGCCAACAATAAGTACAGAACCTGAAGTGAATCGGCACATCCTTGAGTTGCTTAGTCCCAAGATTGCCATGTGATCACATACCTTAGCCAGACTCTTGCTGAAGCTGATGATGTCGTCAGCGAAGGCGTCTGCGTCCGTGTCGGGGTCTGCGATGGAGACCACATCGCGGATGTACTTGCGGTATTGCGCCAGCTCGTACCCAAACTGTTCCGGCTTCAACAGGTACCGCTCGCTGAATCCAGGTGACACTTGTTCTACCTGAATATAATGGATTACTTTACTTATTTTTATATAGAAGTATACTTATAGTTATATAGAAGGGTGAAGTGGCGGTATATAATACGTTAAAACTAGTTTTATTTAAATGGTCACACAGTGTCTTCATTCAAAAGTTGCGTTTTAAAGAAAAGATTTTCGGTTTCTAGTGTATATGTTGCGTACCAAGTTATGAATAAGGCATTATTCATATTGCCCGAGCCCGGTGTAAGAGAACCTATTACCAAAGGGTCCGCAGGTGTCATTAGAAGCAACACCATGCCATATAATCCTGATGCGTTTTCTGTTGGTTCTTCGCAGGACAGAGGTGTTTTTAAAACCAGTGGTAAATAAAGAAAAACTATTAATAAGTACTATGTGTTAATCTATATGGAATAAAAATTGATCTATTCTCTTTTATGGGAAATGGTCTCTTATGGTAAATACAGCTTAAGACTTGTTAGATGGCGGTAAAACCATCTAGTTTACTGCAGACGTAAATAGTATACATATAACTAGCGATCCGCCCCGGCTTCACACGGGTGATTTCTGGATCTCGACAACTGCGCCACATAGTCTGTGCTATCTATAGACTCACGCAAATACATAAAAAATCTTCAAAATATGTCTAGCTGTGTAGTTCAATGACAAGCGCACGTACAGAAAAATTACTGGATGTTTTTTTTACCGTGACGAAAAAAATATCAGTGTGTAACAAGTGAAAGGAATAGAAAGAAGCCTTTGGCACTAATATTTTACAATTTTTTATTTTACATTAACATATTATGAAATCGATTTATCAATAAATACTACTAACTAATTGGGTACGTATTTTTTTATTTCGGTAGTTTTAAATGTTTTATTTATTTAATAAAAAAAATTGTTGTTACTATTTTAGTATCGAAGGTTTATTCCAAAATAGTAGTATTTATTGAAAGTTAATTTCATAATATGTTAATGTAAAATAAAAATAAAAAATTGTAAAATATCAGTGCCATATAGGCTTCTATTCCGTTCACCTGATTACACCTTGTTTTTTCCAGATGGAAAAAATCAACAAGAAATATATATATATATATATATATATATATATATCAATACACATAACCAGAAATTCGACGTGATCAAAGGTGCTCACGACGGTGCTGCGATCGCCAATTCGAATGCCAAGCGTGATGAATAGGACAAATCCTTCTTACATTGAAGGGCGCCCATGTTCAGCAGTGAACTGCTGCAGCTATATTATGATTGTAGCACGAATGGGTCTGCTTGACCGAAATTGAAATAGCAGCTTAATAATAATATAATGGTGAGTGTAGAAATCCGTAGACCCGTTTTTACTGAAAACGAGGCATTTCGTCTTAGTCAGTTTTTTTACGTGGTAGAGTCATGCTGCAGTTATATTAGTAGTATAGTAGTATCGGGGAAGGGCCACGCTCTCACAGAATACCAGCATCAAATAGTAGCTTGATGCTGCTGTGTTTCGTATGGTGAGTGTAGAGAATCGGAGACTGGGACTGAGAGAGATTGAGACTTTTTACTTGAAACGAGGCATTCCCTCAAAGTCCTCACGGGTGACAACTCATCTGCATTTTGATTCGTGTATATAGATGTAGATGTCTATGGGCCACAAGGACCACTTACCATCAGGTGGACTGTGTGCTTGTTTGTTACCCTATCCTATAAAACAATAAAAACAAAACAGTCCTCAGGGATGACAACGCTTCTGCGTGTTGATTCTTAATCGAGAATACCCAAATGTAGATATCTATGGGCCACAGCATCCACTTACCATCAGGTGAACTGAATGCTCGTTTGTCACTTTATTCTATAAGAAACGCTAATCACAGTCAACAGTCTAGATATAATAATATCGTCCAGACCATGGAGGCAAATTCAACGGAGACAAGTCTCAATGGTGACCAGCTATCTGCACAGGTGGGGTTTATATTGCACGAGTGTGTGCGCGTGCGCAAGTATAGGTGAACTCTCCATTCCCTCAATTTCATAGTCCAATAGGACGATGGATCGACACGACAGGATCGGGCGCAGAAACAACGGCTTTACGTGCTCTCTGAGGCACGGGTGGAACACTGCCGACTTCCTGACTCTGGGCTGTTACTGGGACTCTCTTTACATCCACATCCTAGACCTCATGACCAGCAATCAATTTTGCGACCACTAGACCAGCAAAGTGGTTACTACTGACAAATGCACGAGATAGTTATCACAACCATAATATATCAAAAGCCTCCAACATCCTGGAGGCTTTCCCTAAATTAATGCTGTTCTGAAAAACTCACCTATGTGTTCCTGTAGCATACTATATCAACATACATAAACACTCACGCCTGTCACCCAAAGGGGTAGGCAGAGACTACGGACTTCTATTTGGCACGATCCTGACATACCTCTCTCGCCTCCTTTACTATATATCTATCACTCTCGTCGTAATCTGGCCCATTTTAAAACATATAGCCAATTTGGTCGATAACACTCACTCATACTCGTATATAGAGATAACGGTTACTGTTTCCTTCTTTCTGTATGACCAAACCACCGAAACATTCTTTTCTTAATCCTGGTCACATCATCTTCCAAATCACACTTTTCACTTATCACACAATTTCTTACCCTGTTATTCAGATTCAACCAGCTTCTGCCACACCCAACTTACACTAGCATACATTAAAGTTGGAACTAACACAGCATTATGAATTGCCATGCGTACGTTATATCTATGCCAAAATTTTAGTAATTTACGTCTCTAATAATACAAAAATTCTGTGAAAAATATATATAGAAGACACAGACCGAGGTAACTCGACTGGTATGGAGCGGTATTAATGAGGTTTCTAAATTGAAGCCTGTGCGAGCGAAGCCGCTGATAAGATATTATATTATTATACATAATATGCAACCTCTCAGGATGACGTATCACCTGACTAAGTTCGTGACTCGTCGGACCTTTTATTACCGAGATAGGCGACTTCAAGTGAAGACATGAATCAAATTGGCTTATTACAAGCGAGGAATTTTGAATTTGTTTGTGTTTTCGCAGATCTACGTGCGTACATTGAACCTGAATTTATTAAGTATTTACGAGTACGTTTGTAAAATACACGTTCATGACGTTTAGATGTTTTCTGAACGAGTCTAAAATTCTCTTTTTATGTTTTGGTTTATAGGTTTATGGTGCTATAATTAAAGTTTAACATGTCTATCGCATTAAGCCAATTTTTATTGACAGAAGTGTTATCTAATCACTTAAAATTAGTAGACGTATTATATTTAATGCCGTTTTAATAGCTGTAATATTGCATCGCATTGTCTCCCGATTCAATGACTTAGTATTTTAGTACTCATGCGTCAAATTTCTAGCTCTATTGTTTTTAAACGTCAAAGGTATATGTCATGATACATTTTAAGGTACATTCATTTCGATCAAGGTATGATAAAAAATAGTATACGCACAACGGGAGGAAAGTAGGTAATCGCAACCCGCGTCTCGCCTTCGACTTGGATGATAAGACCATGAGTTGCGATGTAATACCACGTGGGTTACAATTTCATACTTTCCTCCCAAGCGCGGAATATACTATTAAAACATCATTAAAAAGAGAGTTATTAACGCAATTTATTTTTAAAATTAAAATTACTTATTTTTAAATTAAAAATTAAATTTAAAGGTAAAATTACTATTTGAAATTACGAATATTCCACATAATAAACTAGAAGACCTTTTATTACCGCTGGAAAAAATATGATATAACATGTGAACCACAGAAATCGTAATAATATTATTACTATTTCTGTGATGTGAACGGAGTAGAAGCCTACTTATAGCGCTGATATTTGATAAAAAATAAATACAAAAATTTTCAATTAAATAAATAAATTAATTAAAATCAATTGAAATTCAAATCATATCCACCCTAGTTTATGAACGGCAACAAAACAATAAATTTAGTAGGCATCTTTGACCTTGTCACTTCGCAGGGTCACAGGCTACGGTGGATATGATTTGAATTTCGATAGATTTTAATTAATTTACTTATTTAACTCAACTTTTTTTAAATGTTAGTACCGGCATCTACTCCGTTCACATGTTATACTCTATTTTTTCTAGACGATAAAAAGATCATCCAGTATAAAATAAGAATAAAAATATACAGCTTCAGTACATTTTGTGGGAACCGTAAGAAACAATTATGGAATAGAATAAAATAATTATTATTTAGTATCGATCACAAGAATATTAATTGAACGTCAGTAATGCTTTTACCACTGGTTCGGAAAAAACACATTTCTGAACATAAGCCTTCCCAACAGATTACCTCATACCATTATCAAAAGGACGCTCCGTATCCGGGTTTTTAACCTGCCGCATCTTAAGAAACCCACGGGACGATAGGAGGTAGTGAATATTCTACACCGCCACTAAAATGTGACATTCTTTGACACAAACTGTAAGAGCATGCACTCGAACTTGTCACAGTTACAAATTTCTTTCTTTATATAACTAATATAGCAAAATTACAAACAATTCCAATAAACACTCCCGTACAGTGCCCACATATCACATTTGAATACAACGCACTACATTCGCTAGGGTCGAACACTGGACCTAACATCAATTCGTTTTTTAAAGAATAAGGGTGACAAATAAGCACAAGGTCCATCTAATGGTAAGTGGATAGCTTATAGAGATTTACATCTAACCTCCATTAAGAATCAAAATGCGTTATCAGTCCTGAGGACTAAGATGGAATGCCTCGTTTCTTGTAAAAAGTGTTTCCGATTATCTATATTCACCATACGAAGTACAACAGCATTAAGCAGCTGTTTCCCGATGGTATTCTGTGTGAGCATGGTCCTACCCCGGTCGAGAAGATCAATTATTGCTACAACCAAAATATAACTGCAGCATAGCTATCAGCTACTACTGCATACAAATTACCATTTTAAATTTACTATCAAAAATCTTCTTTCTAAAACGAATACACTCACCACGATACGGTTCCTGCTGGTATTTCTGACATCCTCGGCCACCTGTACACTGATCAGCACGTTTAGCCCCAGTAGCCTCCTTCCCTTCCCCGTCACCGATTCCCATGAGAAGTTAGCGCTAGCCTCTATAGGCGGCTTGGGGGTAAGTCCCAGTTTCTTCAAAATATCCTCGATCGGTTTTATACCTTTTTCTTCTAATTTGTCTGTTTGAAAGAAAATTAATAGGTACTATTTAGGTGCTGTTATTAGTAATTTAATCACTAAAAATATTAAATCGGAGTTGGATTTTCGTCGCAGAGAAAACACGTTTGACCTCGTTTTGGCAGTCATGTGGCATACAAATTCCATACTTTGTTGTTTTTGTTTTGGATTTTGATTCATTAGTTGTATTCATCTTTCTCTGTTTTTATGTAAGACCGTTATTTGTCGGAAGCCATAAGATTTTTCTGGCAATTTCAACAATTGCTCTTTATTACAACCATGAGGCGACTACGGTAAATACCAGTAATTACTGTTGGCCTTCGGTACATGGCGCTAAAACCATCAGGCGGGGAGCTACTTCAAAGATGCAACACGTCTGGTACTGGTATTGCGATTGTCAATCCATCAGCCAAGCGTGACGATTATTGCAAATACTCTGTGTTATTATTGCGAATACTCAGTTTTATAATTTAAATAAATTAGGCACTTCATAAAAATCAATTTGGTTTTACAAGGGGCAACACAAGTGTTGAGCTTATGAAATATATTTTCAATACCTGAGAGAATTCACAAGATTCCTTAGTTATTTTTTGTGATCTTTCCAAGGCTTTCGATTGTATTCATCATGAGACTGAGTTAATCAGTAAACTACAATATTACGGTGTCAAAAGTATTGCGCTAAGACTTATTATTTAATATTTAAATAACAGAACTCAAAAAGTATTTATTATTTATAAGTATTAAAGGTTCCTCCGGATCGTTAGTAACTATGGGCGTTCCTCAGGGCTCGATTTTTGGCCCATTTTTGTTCTTAATCTATATTAATGACTTTTCTTATCTTGTAGGGAACAATCACAATATAGTATTATTTACTGTGGAATCTTAAATTTTGAAACTCAAACAGCAGTCAATAAATGGTGACAATGTAAATAATGCTGTATCGAAATTAGTACATTGCTTTAACGCCAACAATTTGCCCTTAAACGGCAATAAGACAAAATAATAATAATCACTTTATTATTGCGAATACTCAGATTTATTATTGGGAATACTTAGTTTTATAACTGCAAATACTCAGTTTTATTATTATATATTATATTATTACTCAGTTCTTTTATTAATATTTTGTTATTAAAAAACCCACTAAAACTAATAATTCTTTCGGGCAAGGCCCATTTCCATCGGAGAATTTTTAAGGACAGAGGAAGAAGAATACTGAATTGGATCCAGAATATTTTAACCTTTGTCTTACAACTTAATTAACTGAACACTTGCTGCGTAGTTCTGACTCATAAAGGCTTATGCAAAAAGGGTACATGTTAAAACAGTTACAAAATAATAATAACACAGAAGATATTATCTTTCGGTGCTGGTGAATTAAGAACTAAACAATCCAAACTCAATAATGCAAATTCAATAAACCGTTTGGTGACGGCGAATTCATCATCGCTTTTCGTCCCGCAGGTATTGTAAAGTATAAAAAAGCGACTATGGGATTTGACAAAAGTTTTTATTGCTTTTGATAGATGACGGTACAACCATCCTGTTAACGTCAGGCGTAAATATACAAACTGATGATAGGGAGCCAACGTTTTTTGCTGCAGTCTCCAGTCCGCTTGTCAAGCGTAAGGGTTAAGATAAACCGACGACTACAGAGGCTAAAAATAATCCAAACTCACCGGTATCAATACAAGTTCTATACAACTTCTTCGCTTTAACAACACTCTCGGGTAGACCTTCCTTATCTTCAGCTTCGAGAAGCTCGCGTAGATTTTCTATCAACTGCTCCCGTAGCAAGGCCAGCTGGTCCCACGACGTCGACCACTCCGGCACCGGGTTTTTCTTAATCCATCCGCCGCATGCGAACTCATAAAAGTCCGTGCAAGGATCCACGTCCTTGTTCAAGGATGAAAGGATACGTGATGCTAGAATGTAGTAAGTAAAAAACTAAATTTTAAAAATATAATAATAATAATATAATAATAATAAAATAATTTTTTTTTAAATATTAGTAATCTTATTAATTAACATTACTAATATTCCTTTAAACCACTCCTGGTAAGCATGAAAATGCTTGTGTTAGGGAGTGGTTCACGACAGTAGTCAAATGGCGGATTCGAACCCACGACCTTTTGAGTTCGCGATCCGCGCCCTGCCATTAGGCTACTGTCGCTTCAATTGTTGTTTTAGTTCCTATTTATTTTGTTGTCATGATGGTTTTCTTTACCACCAAGCAAGGACCGGTGGTGATTAAGTTTGAACCGTACGCATATAAAGAAATGGACAAAGGGAGCTCCAGCTCCTGGGCTACATTAAAATAGGTACAGTTACATTTAAATCTTCATCCCCAATTTTTCTAAAAGATTTTTCTTTAATTTCGTGTAGAACCTCTGAAGCATAAGTTATTGAATGAAAAAATCACTACCTATTTAAATCGGTCTAGCCATTTCCGAGAATTCGGCGAACATACAAAATGCAACTTCTTTACAACATATCATTCTTCTTTTATTTTATATTTTACATATTAAGTAGGTTAAATAGTAGTATATACATACTAATGCAGCCCCGGGTGGACACGATACTGATTTCTATCTTCTACTTTTATTTTATTATTTAATATTAAATGATAAAAAATTATTTTCATCCTAAGTTCATACTGGATTTAACTGTGGCTTCACATCGTCAAACACCTCAGTACGTGACCAATTTTTTTAACATAGAATAAGGGTGACAAACGGGCACACAGTGCACCTGATGGTGAGTGGATGCTGTGGCCCATAGACATCTACATTTATCCTCGATTAAGAGTCAAAACGTAGATGCGTTGTCACACCTGAGGACTACGATGGAATGCTTCGTTTCCAGTAAAAAAGGGTCTCCGGATCTCTACACTCACCATACGAAACACAGCAGTATTAAGCTGCTATTTCGCGCTGGTATTCTGTGAGAGCGTAGTCCTTCCCCGGTCGAGCGGAACCATTCGTGCTACAACCGTAATATAGCTGCAGCGTGGCTCTACCGCGTATAAAATTGACTAATTATTAGTATAGATGACGGCTCTGTCGTCTTTGACGGCTCCGTGGCGCAGTAGCTTAGCAATGAGTTACATCGCTGAGGGCCGCTGGTTCGAATTCCGCACGTAACAAGTATTCGTATGGCCTACAAGTAATTGTTCCGGTTTGTGCAATTTATGTATGTATTACACGTACGAATTAACTTGAGACTCCGCTGAAATGCGAATCCCCTTCCCGACTCCCCGCACCGCGTCCCGCGCTGGCCGTGCGCGCTCAGTACCGATAGCATTTTTGTTACGGATACGCGTCTCGACTCTAGTTCGATATTTTTGATAATTGTTTGTTGTTTGGTTTGGACTTTTGTTTGTTTTTGTTATACTTGAACGTTATTTTATCTGTTTGTTGTTAATTGCGTTGTTTTATTGTTAAGTTTGGACGTTGTGTTGTGCCGTTTTCTTGTGACGCTTAGGAGTTACTCCGCCTTTTTTATTTTTAAAAAAAAGATGGGAGGAAAGACAATACATAGCCAAGCACGGACACTTGCTCTAAAAGTTTTAAAATTTTTCGAAGATGAAAAATCAAATAAAAAGTTTCTTATTCCTGTGGACCAAGCTTTAAAGAGGACTTGTGCAGCAACAGGCATATCAATTATAAAATTAATAATATTATAATTTAACAATATTATAAATGAGAAAGTGTGTATGTTTATTTCTTTGTCCTTCCTTGACGCGTTAACTAAAAATAATATTATATATATTATAAAAATAAATATTTAAAATATATAAAAATGGCAACAGTATATCACTTATTACTTCACCCCTTGCCAGAACATTTTATTTTGTTTTTATTAATAATCTCATGCAAATCTCAAAAATTTCAAATAAAAAAATATTACGACGCATTATTTTGCACACCGTATACACATTGACAATTACGTCATCGGCCCAGGTCTCAAGTTAATTCGTACGAGTTATAAACTGCCTCCACGATTCGGGAGAAAATCTTACCTTTAAAAAAAATGGTAAACCGTGATAGCTCATCATTGGGATAAAATAAATGATCGCTGGAAATTGTTAATTGCAATTTTTGAATTCTGTATTAAATACGTGTACGAAATCGCTAACACGCACTATATTGATTAGCGAGGTGTACTAAGTGCTAACTGATATTAAAATGAAAGTTCTGTTCCCAGCTTTATTTAACAAATGCTTACCGGTTTTCTGTATTGTAGATGAAATAGGCGAAGATATAATAACACCAAAAAGGTGGACACTGACTAAACAAAATAAAACGTTCAAAATATACATTATTAAATATTTATATATCACGTTCCAGTACAAATTACATTAAATAAGAAAAATATTTCTAATAACGTTTTCATCATGTTCAAACACGACTAATAACTGACCATTTATAAGTCATACCACGTTATAAAAAGAATTTTGTTTGTTATTGTTTACTAAGTCCACGTGTTAGAAAACAACTGATACCCATGGTGCCAGGGTACGGATATAAACAGAACTCCTAGTTACTGCGCCATCGAAACCTTAATTAATGCATTCGTAATAAACTTTATTAACACGCAGTTAGCGTATTTAGCGTAATTGCTTCTGGAAATGCCACGTGGTATAAATCACGCGACCTGCGCCGTTTACTGCACTACAAAAGGAAAAAATTAACAACGCGAAAAATTCATAATACATTACATCAGTTCTGTTTTATCAACCGACGAAAAAACGGAGGAGGTTCTCAATTCGACGCGTATATTTTTTATGTATGACCACGCATAACTTTTTACAGAGTAGTCCGATTTTGATAATTCTTTTAATGGATGGTGTATACCTCGAAATTGGTCCCATATAATTTGGAAACAAATGTTTACTCTAAGGGTGGGAAAATAGGGGTGATTTATTACAGAGTAGTTCGATTTTGATATTTCTTTTTTTATTGGATAGGGTATAACCTCGAAATCGGTCCCATATAAATTTAGAAAAAAATGTTTACTCTAAAGGTGGGAAAATAGGGGTGATTTATTACAGAGTAGTCTGATTTTGATATTTCTTTTTTAATGGACAGAGTATACCTCGAAATTAGTCCCATATACATTCAGAAAAAAAAATTACCCTAAGGGTGGGAAAATAGGAGTGATTTATTACAGAGTAGTCCGATTTTGATAATTATTTTTTTATTGGATAGGATATACCTCGAAATTGGTCCTATATAAATTTGGAAAGAAAAAATTACCCTAAGGGTGAGAAAATAGAGGTTATTTATTAAGCCCAATCCAATATAATAAAAAGGTACCGAACGTTTATGCTATGAAATAAACTGATTATGTTAATTATATACGAGTATCACCTTATGTAGCTAGAGAACAATTTTTAGCACATATCATAGCAGTAATCAGTATGCGACTCCTTTAAAACGGAATAATTTTAATAAGATTCATTATTTTAATGAGAGTAAGTAATCATCTATTTAATTTAATCACGAGGCTGGATTCCATGCGCGTTTACTCTATGTAATGACATGTTTGCGACTATATTATATTTATACTTGGTAGAGCCATGCTGCAGTTATATTAGAAGTATAGTTGTAGCACGAATGGGTCGGCCGGGGAAGGACTCTCACAGAATACAAGTGTAAAATAGTAGCTTAATGCTGCTGTGTTTCGTGAGATACTTTTTTACAGAAACGAGACATTCCATCTTAGTCCTAACGGGTGACAACGCATCTGCATTTTCGATTCGTAATCGCGGATAGATGTAGATGTCTGTGGGCCACAGCAACCACTTACCATCAGGTGGACTGTGTGCTCGTTTGTGAACCTACCCAAGTAAGTAAGTGCTTATTAACTAAGCCACCTCTAAAAAGGAGGAATACCGTGTGCTGGCGGTATTCTATCCACTACCAATACTGTCCCGTGGGTGTCGCAGGAGGCGATAGAGGGACTCCAAAGCCGAAGATGGGTAGAACCATCATTATGATAGCAACTAAAAACAATAAAAAACTGCGGTTGACAGCCCGCCAACCAAAACGTGACAGCTATGGCAAAAGTCTCCCGATGAGGCAATCTAAAACAGGGCTAAGTTCAGCTTTTATAAACTGTAATGGATGGGTGCGTTTGGCAGAAAAAAGCGCTAGCAAGCGCTTACAAGCGCTAAAATAGTTTTCGGCCAGGACACGATTGCTACTTCAGTAGCGCTGACACAATCCGCCATTTTGCTTATTTAATTTGTTTGTTTTGAAGTAGTTTATAAGTTCTTTTGTGCAATATTAGTTTTAAGTAATATAATGACATGAATAAACATATACATGTTATTAAAAATTCATGATTGGTAAGTTTTTAATATGAATACTTTACAAACATATATTTAAATTAGGTTAGGTTCCCCGGTTAAAACTAACATCGTGTCCTAGAGGAAAATAGCTACTTACGCTTTGACAGCACTTACCGCTTACGATCGCCATTTTGTTTACAAGCGCTTGCTAGCGCTTTTTTCTGCCAAACGCACCCGATGTATGGATGCTAAAGGGATGACGTTCTTAAATCGTCTGTATATTTATTATCAAGAGCACAGGCGCTACTCTAGCCAGCCTCTCGGTATTCTATAGGGTAGACTACCTCGTTGGTCTAGTGTCTGTAGTAGTGCGACTGCTGATGAGGTCCTGGGTTCGAATCCCAGATCGGGTCAACAATCATTTATTGAGTTTTTCTGTCAAGAAATTCTCAGTAGCTGCCCGGAGTCAGGAAGTTGGCAATGTCTCAGCCCCGTGCCTAGGAAAGTACGTAAAGCCGTTGGTCCTGCGCCTGATGTCTCTCCGGTCGTGTCGGTTTACCGTCCCATCGGTTATGAGAGTGAGGGAATAGAGAATGCACCTGTGCTTGCGCATACGCTTGGGCACTATAATCCTGTCCTGCACTGATGGCTAGCCTCCATTGAGGCAGGCCGCCGTGGTCGCAATTCAGTCTGGAGGACATTATTATTATTATTATTATTATTCTATGGAATGCATTTTGGTAAATGTACGCTTTAATTCCTCCCTCTCCTTTCCATCATCGGACGACCAGGCGGTCAGCGGGTCTTCACTTTGTTGTCGATACACGCATTAGAACCAAACAGTTAATGCGCACAGCAAAGGAATGGATTAATTTGTCGGCGTCTATCTTTCCGTACGAATACAATCTGGGCGCGTCTTCAAGGCAAAAGTGAACAGGCTTTTGTTACGCTAAAACATTGCGGTTTACCTTCTAAGGCTGCACTTACCACCAGGTGGGATTGTGGTCGAGCACTGGCTTATAAAAAGTAAAAAAAAATATTTATTTTTAATATCTGTTCGGGCACAACTTCCTTGTTTATGATTCGATTTTTTTTAACTCACATCTTCAAAATGTAAAAAAACGCAGGAAATAAAGTAAATGGGGCTCTACACTCTATTGTGAAAAGTCAAAATTTGTCAAAAAATACACGTATTGCAATTCACAATGCTGTGTTAGTCCCTACTTTAACGTATGGTAGTGAAAGTTGAGTGTGGCAGAAGAAGCACGAGAGTAGAATAAATGCAGTAGAAATGCGGTCGCTAAGGAGTATGTTAGGTCTGAATCTGAGTGACAGGGTGAGAAATTGTGTGATAAAAGAATATTGTGGCTTGTAAGATGATGCTTGCCCAGGATTAAGAGAGGAATGCTTCGGTAGTTTGGTCATGTAGACAGGGTGAAGAAGAGATTGGCAAAAAAAATTATGTTGCAAAAGTGAATGGAAGAGTCGGAAAGGAACGTCCTAGGTGAATGTTTATCGATCAAATTGTCGATATATTGAAAATGGGCCAAATTAGGTAGTATCCTTAACCGGGAAGCATGTATGCGTATGTATATGGATGTGGAGGAGGTGAGAGAGGTGTGTCAGGATCGTGCCAAATGGAAGTCTGTAGTCTCTGACTACCTCTCTGGGTGACAGGCGTGAGTGTTTATGTTGTTTCAAAATGTGTTAGGGCACAGCGTAGGTTTTTTAGCGATTTAAATTTGAAAGAGTTATATTGTTTAATTAGGAATGATATTACAGTCATTGAAGTTTGATACCTACATAACTCTCAAATAAATTTGTCGGTACGATACGCGCGCCACCTGGTGTAAGTTAATTGTTGGTATTTCGCCTATAACCTTCGCGCAAGTGTAAAAAATAAGTTAACAAAGTTTTACCACGATCATTATGAAAGGTATGGCGGAGCATATAATACGACCAAACAAACATTAGTTTTTTATACATTAGATTATTTTTATAAACTGAAACTCCGTTAAATGTAAAAGGAGTGATATTGACTTTACTTACTGGCCACAAGGTTTTATTTTAATAGATATCTGAGTTGTCAGCTGTGTGCAAAATTTGTTGCGCCATGGCGCGGTTTTGAGTTAAAGCAATGAGCCGGTTCAGTAAACTGCGCCTGAGTTACTGAGTTAACGCAAGGAATTTCGCTGAGTTACCCATGTCTAACACACTGCCATGTGTCTAGATAGACTTTGTCTTTATCCTTTGTCTAAATCGGCTGTAGCCACTTATCTGTAAGATGTGGTATCTAACAATAACCGTTTAACTAAAAGCCATATATGAAATAAAAATATAAACTTTGAATATCACTTTGCATTTTTATTGATTATATTTAGATATTATTAACTATAAGTGACAGCAACAAAAAATAAGATAATATTTTTTTTTAAATAAGGTTGACAAACGAGCACGCAGTCCACCTGATGGTAAGTGAATTCTGTGGCTCTTACACATCTACATTTATCCTCGATTAAGAATCAAAACGCAAATACGTTGTCACCCCTGAGGACTAAGATGGAATGCTTCATTTCCAGCAAAAAAGTCTCCGGATCTCTACACTCGCCATACGAAACCCAGCAGTATTAAGCTGCTATTTTAAACTGGTATTCTGTGAGAGCGTGGTCCTCAGTCGAGCCGACCAACTCGTGCTAAAACCATAATATAGCTACATCGTGGCTCTACCACGTAGAAAAGTGTCATTTTAATTTAAAAAAAAAAACACAGATCATCATAAAGTGACAAAGACTCACCTGTACCGACACATTCTTCGCTGTTGCAGGGTCGGGGGCTCCTGTTCTCAGTGAGCACCAGGACAGTTGTGTAGATTGCGAGCGCCACCAAGGACAGTCCCAACGCGCCGATCAACACCGATGAACAGCGGACCGTGCGCTCTCTGTAATATACGCATATATTATATTTTACTTACTCCAAAATCAATGAGAGCCGTGCTAGCTTAGGGCTAAGCACAGAAATAGTAATATTATTACGATTTCTGTGGTGATAAGCGATCTCTGTAAATCTCGTAGCACGCAAACTACTGGGGTTCGAACCCCGCCGGCACCAGCGAAGCTGTTAATTATATGCAGCATACGAAGAGCTGGATCTCATCGTAATCATCTTAATAACAGCCTGTTGTAGTCCACTGCTGAACCTTGCCTTCATTGATATCCTCACAGAAAGAATACTGGCCATAACAGCCAGGCTATGCAGGCTGGTTGGCAAAAGTAAAGTAAAGTAAAGTTACAGCCTATATACGTCCCACTGCTGGACACAGGCCTCCCCTCATTTCTGAGAGGGTTTTAGGGCAAGGAAGTGTCCGCCGCGCTGCCCCAATGCGTGTTGGCGAACTTCACATGTATTCGAAATATTTTTTTTCGTTCTTATTCCTCAGACATGCAGGTTTCCTCACGATGTTTTCCTTCACCGCCGAGCACGTGGTAAATCAGCACTCAAAATTGCAATTAACGATTTCATTGGTGCCGGCGGGGATCGAACCCAGGTTACTCGCGTTCTGTTATATTTACAGCGAGCGTTAACCATCTGAGCTACCACGGCTCTCTTTCTCTGGTTGGCAAACGGAGTTTTTTTTAATTATTTTGAGTTGCTATCAGGAAGCTGCAGTTGCAAATCTCCGGTTTAGGTTACCTCTATCGCCTCTTAGTATACCCACGGGGTTATATGGGGTAGTGGATTATCTTACGCCACCGTTAAACAACGTAAAACATCATTAGATTAGTTATAAATATATACAGGGTGCGATTTCTACTACGTAAATTTTCACACGTGTGTGCTTAAAATAATTACACGGAAGCATAAATATAGCTTCTCTAAACAAACAATGTACGTTATCGAAAAACATTGTAAATGCGTTAAAACAGTAGTGAAAACGTATTTCATCATTCCTGCATGGATTCATATTAGTTTTTAGTGATTAAACCAAAATCGTAGAATTTTCGATTGTTCCATATTCTTATCCTTTTTTAGAAACTTTACCCCTCACACTAAGAACTTTTCCAGTATCGTGGAGACGAGACAGACCCAGAACAATTATTAGTATGTCATACAAATACTTGTTCCGTGCGGGATTCGAACCCGCTGCCCTTAATGCCGCAACTCAATGCTAAGCCATTGCGCCACAGAGTCGTGAACACCCATCCGTATTCATCACCCTACGATATTTTTTTTCCTAATTCAATCGATTTTTATGATCCTTACTAAGCCTAAAGCGTAGCGAATTTTTATTTTTTAATTCTTAACCCGTGAGTATTTTTTACTCGAGCGATTACGTAGTTATCAATAACTTAAATTGAAAATAAAAAAAAACCCGAACAACAATAGCTGATGATCTTCGAACGGCTTCGACGGCTTCAAAAATCAAGTCACTTTTCAAACAAAAAAGTCTGTTCATCCGTGGGAGCTACGATACGATGCCACAGAGACACACAGTTACTCCATATAACATCAGCTATCTGACAGTGAAAGTCCCATAAAAATCGGTCCAGCGGTTTCGGAGATTATCCGAAATGGCTGTCCCGGGTGAATAAACAGACAAACATTGAATAAAACTAAATTTACGGATTTTATCGCGTTTATTTCACTACTTTTACTTATTTTTAATTCCCGAAGTTTCGGGTGCTTTACAGCAACCATGGTCACGGGGGGGGACTGAGATGTTTGACGTCCCAATGTCATAGTTAGTCCGGCTACCTTCAGTTTTTGACATTGGGACGTCAAATATCTCAGTCCCCCCCGTGACCATGGTTGCTGTAAAGCACCCGAAACGTCGGGAATTAAAAATAAGTAAAAGTAGTGAAATAAACGCGATAAAATCCGTAAATTTAGTTTTATTCAATGTGTAATGTTCGCGTAAATTTAAGAAATCATTAAACAGACAAACAGCTAAAAAGTAGGATAGACACACAAAAGTTACAAAAATGTTTCTTTTTTGCAATATCACCGTATATACTTTCATATGTATGTAGTAAAAATCTGTTATTTTGAAATTATAAAAACGTTACACACGTTAAATATACAGGGCTATTCTGCAAAGAGTAGCCAAATTTAAAATTGAGTTCAAATGTATAAATAATCATATGCCGTTATTGCAGTTTTCGAAAATACGACTAAATAAGGCTTACTTTTACTTGAAATGATCAAAAAAAAAAAAACCCTTTAAAATTTTTATTTTAAAAAAAACCCAAAACTTTGTGTTTACATTTAATTTTTTTTTAAAAAAAAAGTTGAGATTAAAAAAAAAAAAAAGGTTAAAATAATTTATTATTAATAAAAAAAAATAAATAAAAAAAAAAATTTTTTTTTATAATAAATAAAAAAAAAAAAAAAAAATTTTAAAAATTAAAAAACTCTCGTGGGGGCAGCACCACAACACCGGGTTTTTTTAAAAAAAAAAAAATAAAAAAAAAAGGGTTAAAAAAAAAAAAAATTAAAAAAAAAAAAAACCCTAAAAAAAAAAAAAAACTCTTAAAAAATTAAAATTTAAAAAAAACTTTAACTTTTTCTCTAAGAGACATTCGGTTTTAAGTTGTAAATAGCTCTTATGGTTCTATTCTGCAAAACAAAAATAGCTTCCAAATCAGCCGCATTCCCCCATAGCAAAATTCCATATGACATTACGATATGGAAATAACTGAAATAAACTAATCTAGCTGTCTCGACACTAGTGAGATGATGACGTTTGACTTTCGAAATTCAAAGTTTTATTGATGTGGGTATATTGAGATAGATCTATCGCAGATCACAAGAACTTGTCGATAGGCTTCCCGATAGATTGCTTCACATGATTGAATATGATAGCTTGGCGACCGCAGTTTTTTTATTATTGAGTAGGTAGTTATCATTAAAATGCTGTTGTCCATTCCATAATTGACTTTTTCTCTGTCGGCTCTTACAACACTTACAGGGTGAAATCGGGAAGAAGATTATCTTACTCCATCACTACACTGCATAGCTACCTTCATAACCTACACTCATTGCATTTTATATAGGTACAACTAGCGATCCGAGCAGGTTTCGCTCGAGTGATTTCTGAATCTCGTCAGCGCCACCTACCAGGTCAAAATGTGAATATAAAGTTTAGATTGTTAGGATTTAGAATGTGAATCTCAAATTTTGTGTGTGTTTGAATGGGCCCTTAGATAGTTTAGAATCGAAACTATCTAAGAACTTCTTCAAACACACACAAAAAATTTCATCAAAATCGATCGAGCCGATATCGAGATTTAGCAATACTAAGGGACAGCACTATATGTATATATACTATATATACTGGGTGAGTTTTTTACCGTTTGGAAAAAATTGGGTATAACAGGTGAACGGGATAAAAGCCTATATCACTGATATTTTACTATTTTTATTTTACATTAACGTATTATGAAATTAATCTATCAATAAATACCAATAATTTGAAATAAACTTTCGATAGGTACTAAAAGATAACAACAAAATTTTTGAAATAAATAAATGAATCTATAAAAAACTATCGAAATTGAAATAATACGTACCCAATTAGTAGTATTCATTGATAGATCATTTTCATAATAATATGTTATTGTAAAATAAAAAAATTGTAAAATATAGCAGTGCCATAGGCTTCTCTTCCGTTCACCTTTTACACCCTATTTTTTTCCAGACGGTAACAAAATCGTCCAGTATGTATATATACATAAATATAAACACTCACGCCTGTCACCCAGAGGGGTAGGCAGAGACTACGTACTTCCATTTGGCACGATCCTGACACCTGTTTCGCCTCATTTACATCCATATATCTACGCATACATGTTCGTCGGTTAAGGGTACTTCTAACGTGGCCGTGGTTTTTCAAGGGCGTCCCTTCCCGACTCTGTCGTTCATATCTACCATATAAATTTGCTTTGTCACTCTTTCCTCATTCATTCTTTCTACATGACCAAACCACCGAAACATTCCTTTCTTAATCCTGGTCACAACATCATCTTGCATACCACATTTATCTCTTATCACCTAATTTCTCACCCTGTCATTCAGATTCAACCCTAGCATACTCCTTAAAGACCGCATTTCTACAGCATTTATTCTACTTTCGTGCTTTATCTGCCACACCCAGCTTTCACTACCATACATTAAAGGAGGATGAGTCGCTCGCGTCCGTAGGCTTCGACCACCTACCCTTAGGCCCACCCTACGTGGGTGGGCCTAAGGCCACCACCCTACTCCCCCTGCGGGTGCTAAACGAGCGACAAAGTCGAAAAAATAGACTCGGCTCTTCGCCGTATGGTAGCGGCGTAAAATCTACCACCACCCCTTGTTCGCACCATGAGTCAGGAAATATGTATATATATGTATATATTCTAAAAACTGTTTCCGGCCTATTACACACACATACGAAACAAAGCAGCCCATTTTACTGCAGCCATGCAACCAATAATAATAACAACAAGAAAAAAAATTTAATAATCTTCCACAAGGTGGTGCTTATAGTCTTCTTTTTTATTTAGATCTTGGTAGTCTACTTTTTGTCATCATACATGTTACGTTTTAGTTTAACTCGTTATTTCCGTGTTATTCTCTGATCAGCAACTAAGTATTAACAAATATATATGCTTAGATCTCCCATAAATACAATACGCAACGTGTTGAAATCCAATAAACTTTTTAATTGCAGAAGCCAGTGTTCGCTGAATACGTTTAATCATCGAATATTATTCGTAAGTGTTGGTATACGTGCTTACGCAATGTATTAAACGCGTTTATAGTTATTATTATAATTACTAATCAATTAAAAAATTGTTTATTGCCTCTATAAAAATACATTTTGATAAAAATTTATGATATCTTTATATATACGCCATTTTCTGCATGTTCTTCAGTTATAGCAATAATATGCTTCCTTTT